CGAAATCTAAATAATTCTTCTCAAATAATAAGACAGCGTACCATGATTATTACTGGGGGTGCACCAATCAAATGAGGCAGAGATTATAAATCAGCCAATCGTCCTTTAAGTAGCTCTAAATGCCTGCTTAAATGTATAAACGGGGGTAATCTTGCAATCCTGTCATTTCCTGTTTGATCCAAAGCTATAACTTATATCAAAAAGCCTGGAACACTTTTTGTTTTCCCCCCATCAAAAATCGGAACTGGTCACAATCAGAGCTGGCTGCTCACCTAAAAGAAAACCACAAATCAATAACGGCCAGAAAAATCCTCATCAGTGCATTTCAAATTACCGATTCACAGTGATAGATTTTATTTCTAACAGCAGACTAAACATGGATGAATAAATACATATTTTTGTTTCATTTAGTTTGGAAATGAGAGATGCCATTAAATAAAGAAATAAAACTTTACTCAGGTTTAAACTTTTGCTAAGAAAATCTGATCTTAGAAAACAAACAAAAAAATACTTGGAACAAATACAACAGGAAGCTGATAAAAATTTCAACCGACAAGACAACAAATGCAGAATGTTTCCTTTAAAAAAAAAGACACACAAAGGAGGAAAATTTCCCCCAGCCTGAAGCTCATGTTGGTTCTGGACATGATCAAAGTCCAGCAGGACCCACGATCCCAGCTGCACATTAATGTGGCACTTCTGGTAACAGACAGCTCCCTAAAAGGTCAAACGAGGTAACATGGCACCATACCAAGCTTTTTTAAAAAGCAGCAGACCTGGAACATCCAGCTGAGTCCCCCTGTGTGTGTCTGTGTGTTACCCTGATCCTTATTGGTTTTAACACTTGTAATTATTGTGCCTCACTTTCCTTCCTGGTCAAACATGTGAGACACACTTCTAAAAACTCTCAGATGTTTCAGTAAAATTTTAACTCTGCCGAAACGACCTTTGTTCAACTGGCTTTGCAAATGCGGCTAAAACACACCATCGCGTTCTACTCTCCCACCAGGCGATATATAAAATACAATAATACAGTGAAAATATTAATTATCAATAATGAAGCAAAATTCAACATGGTACTCTCATAAGTAACGCTATTACTATTCAGAAGTAATTTTATTTCTCATATCTCAAACTCTGTAAATGAAGAAACAGATAAGGATAAACTGACATAATAACAAGGAGAACATTTAACTCATAATATGTTCAAAAATTACAGCACACACTAGCTTTCCGAGCGCTAACTCTATGCGGTTGTGGACAGGTTTATTGAAGTAAAGTTGAATTTAGCAGCGGAGGTCAGGTCAAAAGTTTACCGCGCTCTATTTGTCTACTGCCTGCCTGCGAGCTGACCCAAAAACAACGAAGCCAAAAGTGAAAATAAATCCAGTAACTAGCCGGCGAACGAAGCCTAAAAAACTACAGGGGTACTTTCACTTACAGAGCGAGCTAAGGAGCTGTCATGTCGTCCCGTAGGAAGTCGCTGCGTATGACTGTGTACGCAGCCCAACAGCTTTTAATATGCGGAAATAAAAACTGTTACCGTCTCAGTTTGGACGGCCTGTGGCTCCTCAGCGCCGCTGTCGGAGAATAACACGCTGGGCTCGAGGTGGACAACGTAGCAGCTTCGAGGCTTTAAAATGCACATAGAAAAAAAAAAGAAAAGAAAAAAAGAAAGATGGTGTCGGTGGTTTATTTCTGTTTCTGCATTCAGACCGAAAGCAAAACAACGACTGCTTCGGGAAGTCAGGGCGCGTGCTGGAAATCCCCCTGCAAGCTCTCGTGCTCTCGCTTCAGCTCGGTCTCGAGCGGAGTCGCGAAAGATCCTTTGCGCGCTCCCCAGAAACATACGAAGAGCGCTCACTCCGATTTATATTTCTGCTGTTCTTGTCGTCGTCGAAGTCGAAAATATCTTCGCGTGAACATTTGTACTTTGTTTAAAGGTCTCTCCGAAATCGTATTTACATGTTTTAAGCTTAAATTGTTAAAAAATACTAGCAAAAGACATCTTTTACTTTAATACCAAAAATACGTGTATTTATTTCAACTGGCGTAGCCATCAACAAATACATAGACGATCTTTGAACTGGATTTCATTTTCGCTTCCTCAATTCTCCCTCCTCCCACACGTACCCAACGCGGCCCTTTTTTTTAACGCGCCCGGTGCCAGAAACGAAACTAGAAACTTCTCACAACCGTGCATATACGTTTGTGCAAGGCCAAGCAGCTGCGGCAGTTATTGAGAAAATGCATTTTCGTTTTATTTTCCAGAGTGTGCAACTGAAAATTATCTGTGGTTGCTGCTGTTAGAAAGGGCCAAAACCATACCAGAAGGTTTCATGCATCTTTTTTAACTGAAACCGAATGTAGATGAAACGTACAGCTGAAGAAAATGAATCTGTTTAAAAAAAAAAACATTAAAGTACACATAAAAAAATTAATAATTTAAAAACAAAAGAAATTGGTATAAAAGAAATACATAAAATAAAAAGTGAATGTTTAGATTCCAATTTTAAATGTCTTAAATGTTAGCGATGAGCAGTTTATACAAACATTGAAACGTTACAAAAGCAGATTTGCAAAATTTCTAAATGAATGTATAAAACATTTAGATTTACTGATGAAGCTGTTAGCATCCCTGATAAAAATACATCTAAAATAGCTTCATTTTATTCCAGTAGCATACACAAATATTGCTCCCTAATATATTAGGAGATTGTAACAACAATCTGATCAGTTGTCAGTATCCCTTTTATCAACAGTTTATACATGCAGGACAGTATTTGTTTACCCATAACATTTCACAAAGTTGGAGAACATACAGAGATATTAATTATCCTTTTTGTATATTTAGATCCTAGGTCCTCTTTTATGCTACACCAGAAGATTTTGGTTTAGGTTTAAGGACTGAGATTGCTACTGAAGAAAAACCATGTTGTCTGATGAACCATTTTAATGCTGATTTGCCTTATGGTTCATTATCCTGTTGAAACACACATTTTTGGTTTTTAGACAAAGAAACAGGCCCTGAGCACCACAGATCCTCTACTCTGCCACTAGTGTTTCCTTTCTTGTTGTTTTTCCATTTGTATCTTCTTTTCAATGCCGAAACCGATTTCCGCAGGAAAGCTCAATTATAATCTCGCCAGGTGAAAATGTAAGTTTTACAATTGAAGTCCAAGCAGATTTTTAGTAAACTCTTGGGAATTTTATATGGATTGCAGATAATACACATGTGCATACTTTCTGTTTATGCTATAAAGAAAACAACATGTTTCATTGAGGAACGGAAAATCACTGTGTTGGGAAGTGTCAGTTACCAACTCTGTGTTGTTTTACGGCTTCGTTCGCCACAGACAGGGATTATCTGTTTGTGCCACACATGTTCTGCAGGCGATACTCAGGGTGGGGTGCGGTGAACAGACGGGCACAGTTTAAACATCAACAGGGAAAGTTTGGTCATCTAAGTCGTGCATGATTTAGGAGAGGAGGAGCACCAAGTTATTTACAGTATTTGGCACGCTGCAGAATTTTACAGGGCGTATATGTGTGTGTGTGTGTGTGTGTGTGTGAAGAGGATTCTGAAAGTATAAAAAAATCCAACCTGTTTTAAGGGTTAAATTTAACAAATGGTTGAGTTCCTGAAACAAGTGAAGACCTGCTCTAAATCTTCCAATAGCTTCCTCTAGTGGCCGCAGGCCCACATTGATTATTCATTTATTTATTTACTATTTCTCATGGAATGCAAATTACACCCGTCTTGTTAATCATCATCATCTTCCAACGGTGTTCTGTGGTTATGTAATGTGTTCCTATACACCTCAGAAAGTAGCTAGCTGCGCCCGTGCAGTGCTAATTAACATATGGATATTTTACAACAAGAACTATGTGGGTTTGGATAAAGACAGCCAACCAGTCTAAGGCTAAACCTTACAGCTCTGTGAATGTTTTTTTTACCCAGTACCCCAGTGCTGTTTTTGACACATTAGTTTGACAAAAACAGCAAAAATAGAAACATTTTCCCATAACTGTAATGAATCCATCAAAAATCTGAAAGAGAACCTTGTTGGGGTCTCAGAACACATTACAGCATCCACTGGTTCAGAAACACAGCAAGTAAAGAAAAACTAGCTAACAACGTTAGCTGATTCACTGATTATCTTAAATAATCCACCTCATTCTTGCAGGGAGTTACAAAATCTCCTCAACAATGGAAAAACAATTCATTTGATTAAAGTGAAAGGCAGCTGAAATGCTGCGCTACACGCTAACGGAGTCATATTTCTGGAACAACTCAGAGCTGAAATATTTGTTATCAGAACAAGTTCGTTCCAGGAAGACAAACAGGGTAAGTGGAACAGCTGGAGTTCTCAGAAACCGTGTTCCGGGATGTAGCAGGTCCCGACAGGTTTTTGGGAAGACTAGATGCTTCTGAAATGTGTTATGAGATAACTTATTAGGAATTGTGTTCATGGAATTGTGAGTTGAAAGCAAATTCCTGTAGTGAGGTTTGCGCTAACTTATTCAAAGGACAGCTATCTGATTTAGATGTGACGTGATGGATTAACCTCTGCTCTCTAAATGTCTCAATAGAAACAGTTGCCAGTGTGACTCCATCTAATAGTATTTATCTAATAATCTAGAGTTTAAGGGATACTTTTTTTGTTTATAACAGTATTAAAATCAGTAGTATGATTATTAAATGGCTGATTCTATCATTCTAATAATATTGTCTGGGACTAGGGAGATCATTAATCCTAACAGTCAGAGTGAAATTGTAATCAAAGCAGGAGGAATATGTCTTTAAGGACCTGGAACATTGTGGCAGGCTGTAATAAGCCTCATTGGAAACCATCAAACGTTCATCCTGGAAGCCTCTGCCACTAAAGCTGATAACCGTCTCCCTCTTGTGTTCATTAATCAAAGTGAAAACAATTCTACAATTATTTGGAGAAAACAAAGAAATTTTAATGACAAAGATAACCTGAGTAAAAACAAAATACAGGTTTTCAAATTATTTTATATATTAAGAGGAAAAAAAAAATACAATGACCAACCCGCCTCTGTGTGATGGATGTGAAAAACTTATTGCACCCCAAATCTAAGATCTGAACGTACATCATCATTTTCCTCATTGTCCTGCTACATAGTAGTGTCCATAAGTTTTAACAGTAAGTACTGATGGTCAGACAATCTCCTTAAGGATGTTTTGGTAGAGAGCAAAAATTCATGATTCTATCAAATTCTGGAAGTTGTCCTGGTTCTGAAGAAACAAAACTGCCCCTGCCATCACACAGCCACCATCATATTTCACTTAGTCTGATGTTCTTTTGCTGTTTTAGTTTTACCCCTGATAGTGAACCGCCTCTGCACAATAGGCCTAACAGTTTCTAAAAAAAAAAAAAAAAACAATGGTTGATGTGTTTTTTCTGAAATCAGAAAACAACAGTTTCTTTTACAAAAACACAGTCTAATTCTGTTTTTACTCCAAATAAAATAATAAATGCTAATGAATGCTTTGAAAGTACTTTCTGAATCCCAAAGGTGAACACTTTATGAACTCATTTAGTAGGGAAGTAAAAGTCTTTGGTCAGCATTGACACAAAACAGGGAATTTGCTTTTTTCCACTAAATCCAGGCAAGTCGGAAGCAGATTCAAAGTGGAACGCCACCTTGTGGTTGACTCGCGTCATGATCTGCATCAGCTCCAGCTGTCCACTGAACTTATTCAGACTTTCACACAGTGACTGTATGAACCAGGAGCCGTTACTGGTGTTTCTCCAGGAGTAAAAGCCTGTCAGGTGGAGTGACGGGTTAGAGAGGAAATTCAGGTAAAAACAAACCAGATGGAATTTGAAGAGAAATCCAATCAGAGTCAGTTACCTGGAACAGTAGAGTACCCGTACATAAAGTCTGCCTCCACAGGAATCTTGGCAGACGTTTCGTCTACTGCAGAGTCCATCTCTATGCCATGGTCAAGCTCTGAACCTCTGCACGCCTGGGATGCGAAGAACGACGAGGTGAAAGAAAGAAGGAGGTGAAAAACAAACCGATTCACTCCATTCCCCCTCCAAACACCCACGGTGAAAAGCTTAGAATGAGGCAGCATTTTCAGCTAATGAACTGTAACTGACCTGTATGAAGAAGAGCTTTGGTTTCCCCACCAGACTCATGCAACGACGTCCTTTAATGCATTCGATCAGCGTTTCAAGCTTTTTGAACCCATCAGTGCCATAAATCAACTCCTGTTCTCCGTGGCTGAGCAGCACACACACAAATGAGGCGTTCTGACTGTGGTCCTCCTTAGCCACTGCACACAGAGCGACACAAGCCCTTACACCAGGGCTTTTCTGTATATTTGTGAACCAAATGGAAGCCACAACTCTGATGATTGTTACAAACTCATTTGTGTGAAGGTCTGGTAAAATGAGAGCTTAAGGTTCTTCCTACCACTGACTATAGTTAGCGGCGATTGTAGCACGGGCCACATTTTTGCGTTGCTGGCAGGATGAGGTGGCCTGGCCATACGGTGGAGTTATGCTGTTAGCCAAACTATTCTTTTTTATTTCTTCGTCAGTACATCAGTGTTATTGTTATGGCATTAGCATGAACTATTGACAGCGTCTGACAGACGTTTGCAACAAATCTGCATATGGTGTAGAGTCAATATTTACAGTTTATTATCCAGTAATTCACTCCAACATGGTGGATATCAACTTGTGAACCAAAGTAAGACTGATGGCTACCCATCCTGATCATAACTGATCATTTGTTTCAATGTCTTCTTGTGCCAGGGATGCTAAAGGACCTGCCTATTTTTCCTCTGGATAAAAACAGTTCTAATTTCTGCTTTTATTATTACAATGAATAGTACCCAAGGTATCGTTTCTGGATTTAAAAGGCAGACATCCTTACCACTGCCCCACATTCTTGTAATTCTGTCCAACATAAATTTGATATCACTTGTCAGAGCTTGTAGTTAATCTCATTAATCTAAGAATCTAAGGACAGTTTCTGTCATCTATCACGCTGACTACATGCAGAAGTACACTGTAGAGGATTATTCTTATGGTCATATTTTGAAATTACTCTGTTCTGCTGTTTCCCACCTGTAGAGTACTGAACAAAATTAAATATCTGCGTCAGACAATATATGGCTATTGATAATTGAAACTGGCACTTGAAATTGATAATTGACGCATAAGCTGTGCTTGTAAAAAAAAAGCTCACACTTCTAAGTCAACCAGCAGTTCCATGTGGTGCATAAGGTACTCTTTTTTCCCACTTGAGCGCCTACACCCCCCTCCAACATGTCTGGGCATGCCACTGCCTTCAGCTTTTTAAAAACTGACCTCAGGTTCCCAGTGGGGTTGAGATCTGGGAGGTCAGAATGTCTATGTTCTGCTCTTTGAGTCACTTTGCTATCATTCTTAACTTGTGACACGGAGCTTCATCATGCTGGAAAATCCACTGTTCTTCACCAAAGTGCTCCAAGGCTTGTGGGCGAAGCTGATCATGGAGGCTGTTCTGATCCAGCTCCTTGTTCAGAACTGTGATTAATCTCAATTCCTTGAATAAAAGGCAACCCCACAAGCTGATTGATGAGAGATTTACCAGAATAAATAACTTTCTACCAGTTTTGTAAGTCATCCAGAACCTTAGTCTGTCATGTTTGCCGTAGAGAGAAGTACCTTCTTTGAGGCTGTTTTGGTAACAAGGCCACAGTCCAAAATGTTCCCACCAACTCAGCACTAAACAATGTCAAAACACTTTCATATGTCTTAAAAAGCAATCATTAGCGTAAAATCTAAAAAGTTTAGTAACCTCTGGGATAGACGATCTAATAATGAATCACCTAAAGTTGAGAATGACCAGGTAAGACTCAATTGAACATGGAATAAGGTTCTTTGGTCAAACAGCCCAAAACATCTGAGTCACAAGAACATACCCGATGGAAACAATTCCTCTTGTGAGGTACGAGGACGGTGCCGGAGTCTCAGTGATTTAAACGAATTGGAGTTGATCAGTTGAGGTGCTGCAGTTACCTGCATCCATCTGTTTCATCATGTTATCCACGGTCTGGTCGTTCAACAATCTGATCTTGTAACCCAGTTTAATGAATGTCTTAGCAACATTAGCAGCATCAACATCGGTCCCATTTCGGACTTTCATTCCTGAAGGAAGACAAAGAGGAAATCTGCTTAGCGTCTGGATGTTAGTTCAACAAAGCCAGTGTGAGATCGGTGGCCTGCATTTCATGACCGATGAAATCTAACATTTTAAACCTTGCAGAATTTCCAAACACACCACAACAGGGTGAGTTCACACACACATTAGGTTTTAATGGATTTTATCAAACCCGTCCTACTGAAGGCTTCTTTTGTTAGAGCAAAGAATGACAAAAAATAAATTAATTAATGAATCCAAGCAAGAGCAAATACCTATGAATACAAAATAAGATAAAATGTGTATATTTAACACATCTTTAACTACTTTATCCATCTGCTTCAGAAAAAGCAGATTTTTTAAAAAGTGAACATCATAAAGAGAAGTTGTTCTTCAGTCATATTTCTGGCTCAGTTCATACATTGAATGAATCGGACCAGTAAATCCCCTGCCAGCTGGGGCAGATGGGCCCCATATAGGGAAAAGGAGGGCAGACCAGATGGGTCCCATAGGGTTTTGTCTGCGGGTTCCACGGTGGGGTCACCGTGGAACCCATGGGCCACCGTGTGGGCCCTACATGGTGGTGGGCCCACATGGTTTTGCCCATTTAGGGCCCATGTAGGGCTTACATAGGCTGTTGCCCTACATGGGCAAACCCATGTGGGGCCACCGTGGAACCCGCGGACAAACCCATATGGGACCCATATGCCAGCCCTCCTTTCCCCTACATGGGGCCTACCTAGGCATGCTGGCAGGGTCGGATCCCTTGGTCTTCATTCATGAAACAAATTTAATTTATCGACTTGTGCCTAGACTCTGAGACCATATTGGGCAGTGTGTGAAGAAAGTGGTTTAAGAAAGTAGAAGCAGGAGGAAAAACATTAAATAAAACAAAAACCTTAAAGAAGATCTGACTGATCAAGTTATGTGAACTGTGTAGCCTTGTACATTAATGTGTAGGTCTAAGTTAGGTGAATAAATGAGAAGAAAAAAAGATTTAAAAAAAGAGAAGCAATGAATTAACTGATAAATATAACATCAAACCATATAAACACAAATAAAACAAGACATTTGCATAAGAAGATCATAATAAAACCTGACTTCTTGACAAAGTAAAAATAATTTGTAGTGATAACAGGGGTAGTTTAGAAAACAATCTATGGTCTAAACTATTAATAAGACAGCTTTAATTAGTAATAAAAACTTGGCTGAAGCTGATATATGTTTAAACATCTGGTGAGACCTTAACAAAAATAAACATAGCTCAATATTTCTGTTTTGGGGATTTAGTTCGACCAAAATTAAAAAAAAAAAAAAAGAAAAAAAAAGAAAAGAAAAAGAAAATCAAAGTAAGGTTTGATTACTTAAAAAAAAGTATCCTTTTTAGTGGCAAACATCAAATTCTATATCACGTTAATGTGAAATCTTACCGGTGTGTACGTCAAAGTTCTTGTTGTTGATAATGAGGCAGACTCCCATGCAGGGGTAGTCCGTTCGGTAGCGGTACATGTCAGAGGGAGTACCTTGACTCCCTGAGCTGTTCTTCACCTCATCATCACCACCTGCTGGAGCTTTGCTGCTGCTGCACACATGGGAACACACACAGACTCCTGAGACTATTTCACTCAAAACAGAAATACTTGTTCATCAGCTAAACTCTGAATAATAATTATATGACAGTCAAAATGGCTATTCAACCTAGTTTAACATGTGAACAGAAGTAGGATGTAAAAGGTTTCCTGTCAGTTGAACTTGGTTTCTGTGGAAAGCAAAATTAACCTTCTTGTTTGACAAGCCACTGCAGTTTACGTTCATAAAGAGGAAGGAGGCCTGGAAAAAACAAAAACAAAACAAAGCAAAGCAAAACAGTCACTACCTTTTTAGAGAGAATTTTGAGGCGTCCACGGTGTCCTTAGCCTGGTTTTTGTATTTGCCATTCTCTGCCATGTTCCTACAGACATGAGCAGACAAACACAGCTAAGGAGAAATCAGAGGGATACCTTATCTTCTGCTAAGGTGATAAGGAGTATTATTTCCTGCTGAGAAGCAGCGCCTTTCAAAATCACTCAAGCTGAACTATCTTAGGAACGGAGAAAATTCCCTTGTAGCTTCTGAAGCAGAATGTTCCAGACAAACTTCACTGGGTTTCATCAGACAGAGCAGCACAAAGTAGAAGACCATTGTGTAATGGAAACTAGTTTAACATAAATCTGGTGCAAATAATCTTTTATTAATTATTTAAGTACAATAAAAACGAATGAAATTATGTGTTTATTCCCTTTCGCTTTGAAACGCCTTAATAAAACTCAGTGTAGCCAACGGTTTAATATCTAAAGCTCAAAGTCCGTCTGTGTGTACACCAATCTCATTGTAAATGCAGCCAGAAAGTCCTGCAGATTCCCGCTAAACGTGGGAGTCCAGTCAAAGCCCAGATCTAGATCCAGTAGAGACAAGACTTGAAAAAATACTGTTCACAGAAGTTCTCCATCCAATTTAAACTTGAGAGAAATTAAAAAAAAAGAAAAAAAGAAGCAGCTACTAGAAGCATACCCCAGAAAACATTAGATGTATGCGTTCTTACAGCAAAAAGGTGCTTTTACAAATGACTGATTTAGGAGGGGTCTGAATACAAGCTCATGCCACACTTTTCAGATGTTTTCCATGCCAAAAGTATGTTTGAAAACTGTATCTTTCTCATTCTGCTTCACAGTTAGGTCTATTAAGAAGACTTAAGATATATTTTAAAAAGACCTCTGACTCATTGTTCTTCTCTGAGATCCCAAGATCTCCCAAGATTCCACGTGGGCCGAAGTGAAACCACACAGAAAATAACAATCAGTGTTTGACGTCACAGAGTTTCAGAGCTTAATCAAAAACAAAACAAAGCATGAAAATTACATCAGAAAACTGCCAAAAAAAAAAAAAAAAAAAAAAAAAAAAAAAACTTTTATTATTTTACTTAGCAAAAAAAAATAAAAGAAAAAATGCCAAAATAAAAAAAAAGAA